AGCTAAATAGACATCCAGACATTGGCAATATGGTCTGTTTTTTAGAGAAGACCATGTGAGATGGTTGTAACGGTCTCCCCTCTCACCGTCCTCCCTCCAGCCCATTTTAATTTGACTGTGGACTCCAGTACACAGCATGGATGACCCTTAAATATTTTTAGAATCTGATATCCAATAAAAGTCTAACAGGTATAAAGATAGCTATTTCTAGAATGTCCTTTACAGTTTGGGCATCAGCACTGCCAATGGCTCACAGCAATGGGTTAATGGTGTCTGGCCAAGCATGGCATGACTAAGTGCTGATGTGATTGAAGACCTTTGGGATTTGTAATCTGTAGTTTGTTTGCTGTAAATTGGTTTTGTAGTCAAATGATTTGTTTTCTAATACGGTGGTCTGCACTTGAGCTTCAAAGGTGACGCAGTTGTAAAGAATCCACCTGTCAATGCAGGAGGCCCAAGAGACGCAGATTCAGTCTCTGGGTCAAGAAGATCCTCTGGAGTAGGAAACAGCAATCCACTCCAGTATTCTTGCCTGGAAAATTCCATGGACAGAGGAGCCTGGCGGGCTTCAGTCCATGGGGTCACAAAGAGTTAGACACAACTAAGCGACTGAGCAAGCACAGATCTGCACTTAGGCCCCGATAGAACCTACCTTTCAAAAATGCTCCTGCATAGATCAGTGGAGTTTGGCACCAATGATAGTCTTGTTAGAATGAAGGAAGATGCCAATGGGAAGATGGGCTTGAGCTGATGAGCTTCAATGAGCAGAGTGCCAGAAAGAGACCTCTGCAGGGAGAAAAAGTGTTTCATGAAGGATCCAAGAGAAAAGGCATTCCCTGAAGCCTGGAAGAGTGAATGTAAATGCACTTTTTCTTTTCTCTTTTTAAATTTTTTTTCTTAAAGTCCAAAACAATGAATACTGAAAAATCATTGCTGGAGAACTTGAGCAGATAGTAAATGTATTGATCAGTCTCTAAAGTCTGTTTTGTTTTTCCTCTTTTTTTTTTGTTACTAAGATTCAGTGTCACTGTGTTTATTCAGACCTTTGGAGAAAAGAAAGAAGCATTCACAGTTTAAAGTAAACTAACTTATAGCCATTCCACGAAGAAAATATTCCAAATTATATGATTTGTTGTTTATTTCATTTCTTTCTATGCAGAGATGTTAACATATATTCTTTTAACTAAATTGTGAATCCAATGTTATTCATACTACCTTTTTCTCTTTTCCTTGCTTCTCTTCAGTTTAACAACTATATTTAAGATTATCTTGTATATTCTCTCTATCTGTCCTTCTTGCAGCTTTCTTCTAATCTAAATTACAGTGTTTCTGAAAGTAATCTAGGCTGAAAATGTAAGATACCAAATATAGAGCATATAAAAGGGAGATTGATAAACTATCAGGTAAACAAGTTGCAGTTTAACTAAGAACTGCTCTTAGTCTGAAGAGAGCAAAGAAGTCAGAAAAAGGCATTATATTATATAAATCAGATCGTTTTCTACTCTCCTCTTTCCATCATCCTCTTTGCTCCTTTCACACCTCCAGTCTGTGATCACAGACCTTTGCACCACAAGACAAAGAGCAGATGCCCACCACGTGCCTGACGGGAGGCGCTCCCTGGAGAATCTCAGGGCAGGAGGAAAATGCTGCTGACTTCCCCTTTCCCCTCCCTTGATGACTGTTGCCACTTTAACCTGAAAGGTGAGATCCAAGTGGTCACCGCAGGTGTACACGTATGCAGGGAGCATCTACAGTAAGCTAGACTCTGTTCAGAGCAAGAAACTCGAGCTATACATGCAGCATGTGTCTCCTGTGGCTTGCTCCCTTCAGACTGCAGAGTGGGGAAGGTGAGCCACACTCTTTTCTTCAGGTGGCTTTGATTTTGTGAAAATTCTACATTATAAAAGCAAGGGCAGGTTTTGCTTAGCACTCCTAAACTCACTTTCCATTTTGGTTGATATCCCTTCCCCACCTTCTAATACCGTTGAATAGATTTTCTTTTTCTTCTTTCAATTAGAGTTAGTCTCTTTTTCACTTTTAATAACACCACATCAAAAAAATTTTTTTAAATCCTCTTTTCAGTGATTTTCCCCTGAAAATTATTCTTCTAGGTTCAAGGTAGCCCAAGGATGCGTGCCTGCATGCTCTGTCACAGTTATGTGCAACTCTTTGCGACTCCCTGGACTGCAGTCTGCCAGGCTCCTCTGTCCATGGAATTTTCCAGGAAGAATACTGCAATGGGTTGCTATTTCCTTTGCCAGGGGATCTTCCTGACCTAGGGATAGAACCCACGTCTCCTGTTTCTCCTGCATTGACAGGCAAATTCTTTACTATTGAGCCACCTGGGAAGACCCAGCCCAAGGATGGTGGTACCTTCCTCATCTTTGCACACACCCACTGCCCAACACAGTGAATAGCTCATACATGGCATATGAGCTATAGGTGTTTAGTAATTGAATAAATGAGTAAATAGAGACATATTATAACCTTGGAAACTATCACAACTATACAGAGATCTGCATTCTCATTCTTGGTCACGTTCTCTTTTTCCTCTTTTAGAAAGACTGTGTTTCTCTATTGATGGCCCCTTTTGTCCCTCTGTGATTCTCACTTTATGTGTGTGTGTACGTGTGTATATGCGTTTGTGTATGTATATGGGTGTATGTATGTATATAAATGTGCATTACATAGTGGCTTCACTTTGAATGTTTCTCCCATGCCATAGATTAGGAATTTAGTAATATTTGATGTATAGACACATGCCCATGGATTGTAGCAAAATTATGGGTTATATGTGCAACCAGCTACTACTGGTAGTTTATAATTTCCTCTGCCTGTTTGTTGTAGCAGCCCCCACTGGAACTTGGTTCTGGTTGCCTACACAAGCTCCATTTTGATACTGGTACACAATCCTCCCAGTATTTTTGAATTAAAGGACCTAACAAATGTCCTGAATGTGTTTTTGGTCACCTGCCTGTTCTGTGGGCCTTGGAGATGAAATCCTGGCTCTCTGGTCTCCAGAACATATAAAGAATATACAGATAATTTAAGAATATCATTTGGATGCCAACATTTAATATCCCACAAAATTTGCACTGGCTTAAGCCAATTTCCCAGCACAGTGTTCTCTCATTTCTATTTCTCTCCATCTCAGGGTTTTAAAAGAAAACAAACCTCTGCATGCATAGATTAGAGCCCTCCCATAAACACATGTTCCTATCAAAACCAATCAAAACAGAAGAAAGAAAGAACAGAATATTATACATTCTTCTTTAGATCTGCTGTCTGATTTTCATTAGGTTTAACCTTATTTCTCTAAGATCCTAGGCAGTGACCCAATATTTATTTTCCTGGCTGGGCCCTCTTCTTGCCAATATTTCACTCTGGCTCCTAAAGGCCTGGCTGAGGAGTTCAAGGCTCTCACACTCCCTCTTTTCTGCTGCTCTTCGGAGACACACATCCATCACATGTATTCTTCGTTTCATCTCAGAGTTCATTCTGAGCATTTTCTTCCCTCCTATTCACAACTTCTTATTTTCTCCCTTTCTTATTGGATTTATGACAGAATACTTTAATTTATTCATCATATAATGTCTTTGTAACTCATTTTTTCTAGTAATTTACACTGGACCATATGCTTTCTGCTGCTGCCTCCTATTATATTGATCTGTAAAGCTTCTGGGGGCAATGATTAGCATGAAAGCAGCCCTGCAAATGAAAGTTATATTGCATCCTATTTGTTCTCTTTTGAAAAAAATATATTTCAGAGTTCTCCAAGTGGTATCAGATGTTCCTTAATTTTGCAGGGTTTTATATGATTTCAGTTATGCATATACATTTATATATATGTGTATGTGTATGTGTGTGTGCCTTTTTTGAAACAGGAAATAAAAACATCATTTAAAAAAATTGACATTTACTGAAATTAGTACAGTCCTCAGTTGTATTTCGCAGACCATGTTGATCCTCAAAGCTAAAACTTCTAAAATTCATTATAATGGGAGCTTGAAGCACATGGCAACCAGCTTACATGCATAGCATGTTCTCTGTTAAATTTGTTTGATCCCTTTGCATAGGTCACATAAGATAACATGTAAGCTAGTACTTTAACTGTAATGATGGCACAAATACCAAGGTAGGAATCATACTTCAGGGATATCACTCACATCTCTTGACTTCTGATTTCCTCAGGCATAAAACATTAACACCTAGCAGTGTCCTGAGGATCATGAGGGAACATGTGTGCAAATAAACTTTACCAATAGAAGAGAAACTTACAAAATATTGATGAACATTTTTTAAAGGTACAATGTAATATTCATATTCTTTATTCTTTGCTCATATTCTGTTCTTTGGATTTCACAGGGACTGAAGCATGTCCATTTGCATTCCATAAACAAAGCTTTGGCCAGGGTTATTTGTGCTAACAAGTAATATGCCATGTCAACTGAATGATATCAACCAACCAAAATTATACAGTGCCACTATTTCTAAACAAGAAACTTAAAATCTATGGCATTCACTCTCAGCAAAAGGATGCCAGAAATAAGTAGCCTCACAGCCCTTAAGTGGTCTCTCATGGGCCATAGCATGTAGAATGCTGGGAATTTTGTATCCTCAGATCATTTTAGGAATTAACCCTAAGCCCAGTCCATAACTCTGAGGATTATCTTCCTTAATTCTGAGAAGAGCCAAAAAAGATAAGCCCTGGAAAGAAGGTTAGGACAACAGTTTAACTGGGCCTCTACATCAAGCTTCAATGGATCCAATACTGCATCCAATAACCGTATTGCATCTGATATGACCTTGAGCCAATCTGTGAATCTATGAAAGAGTTGAACTGAACCATAGGATGGCAAAGCCTTTATCAAGGGAACCCTGAGTTCAAAGTTGTGTGCATGGAAGCCCGTTTTATGAAACAGATGCAGATGAAAACTCTTGGAGCTGAAATGGGTGTGGATGTCTAAAGCCCTGCTCACACGAGCTCTGCTTACCCCATACGATGCCACCTTCCACTTTAGAGTCCACAAAGCACCTCAGAAAACCACTGAATGAATGAAATGATTTCCCGTTTCTCTCTGGTTTCTTCCTAGGAAGATTTTTTCTTTCTGTCTTACGTCATCCAGGTTCTAGCTCCAAGTCTTTTCTGCTTTTTGTCTTCCAAAGTTTGCTACTCCATTCTTTTTATTTTGAGAAATTAAAGAGTTACGAGAAAACAGAGAAACAGTAAAACAAATGCTCACATTTATACCACCTAATATTAGTAACATTTTGTCTTATTTGCTTTTAATATTTAAAAAAATAAAACTTTGCATATATATTTAAGAATATATATTGCACACAAATATATAATATTGCTTGTATTTATTAACTAATAAATTATTTAATTAAATATTAAGTGATTATTTGTTTATTTCTCTCTCCCTAGAGGCAACTATTATCATGGAGTTGCCATGCATGCTTCCCATCTATATTTTAATACAAAACAAAACCTACATATGCTTCCATAAATAATATATGACATTTTTGCTATGATTTTGTAATAGACGTAACATTCTGTTTCTTATTTATTTTTAAATGCTTCTAAGGATTATGCAAAAAATATAGCCAGGTTGATTATTTTATTAAACTGTTGTGTAGTTCTTAATGTGAATAGTCCACATTTTATTTATGCATTTCCCTATCTATTAATATGATCTTTTAGGAAGGTTTTTCTTTCCATTAAAACAATTCTAAAATACATATTTTTATAGCTTTTTGTAACTGTCTCTACTCTCCACAACTATAAGAGTCTCTAAGAGTCTCTCTATATTGTACACCCAAAGGTGGTATTGTTGGACCCTCAGGTATTTACCTTACACAGTTTACTAGAGGCTGCCAAATTCTCTCCAAAGTGTTGGTAACAATTCAACTCTTAGCATTCTCAGTATTTTATATTCTTGAACTGTTAAACTGCTTTACATTTTGATTAAGAAAAGATACTATAGAAGAGGTCCTAAATTGGGAAATTATAATTTTTATTTGGAGATTATATTTCAAATTTCTTGTGAGTTTTTTTGCAATCCAATATTTTGACTAATTTTCTGATTTTGCTGCTGTCTTTTTCTTACTGTTTTTAAAAGTTATTTTTACATATTCTGGAAGTTAATTACTAATCAATTATTTATCACATATTAAAAATATCTTCTCCAGTCTCTTAACATTATTTGATCTTTATATTATCTCCATTTCACAGGCCAAATAATGGACTATAGGACACAAGAAGTGAATTCTTCAAATTCACGGGGAAAAGTAAAAATATAAGAATAATCAAGAAAGTTTGAAATAGATGAGCAAAGAGATGGTGTTGGCAGCTGTTTGCAGCTACAGGATGGAGGTCCCCATATTTTGCTGGCTATCAGAGCCAGAGGCTGGATTCAACTTCCAGGGGACAGCCACTTTCTGCCACTTTCCTTGCCACATTGTCCCATCCATGTTTAAAGATAAATAATGGAGACTCTTTCATCAAGTCCCCCTCACTTCAAATCTCTAACTCCAGGAAGAGCCTAGGCCCTTTTAAAAGTTCATATGGTTAAGTCAGTTTCCGTATAGCATAATCTCTCTATTTTAAGGTCAATTGATTTGAGACCTTAATTAGATCAGCAGATCCTTCAGTTGCACCAAGATTAGTGTTTGTTTAAATGACAGGAAGACTATGTGTACAACAGGAGGAAGTAATCTTAGAGAACATCTTAGAATTCTGCATATATGGAAAATCCTTTTTTTTCCTCCCTTTCAATATGATTTTCTTTAAGTCTGTGTCCTCAGCCAGAAGTAACTTGCCCCAGGTAATATTCAGTAATGTCGATATCCAGCAAAGTGATATTCAAAATGTCTGGAAACATTTTAAGTCGCCAAAACTAGGGGAGAGGGTACCACTGTTGTTTAGTAGGGTAGATACTACAATGCACTGGTCAGCCTCCCACAACAAATGTATTGCCTAAAATGTCAGTGGTACTGAGGTTATGAAACCCTGCTTTATATTTGCATTGATTTACTGGTACACTTTGGTTAGTACTTAGCTGATCTGTCAGTGCTAAGTCACTTCAGTCATGTCCAACTCTTTATGACCCTATGGACTGTGCCTGTCAGGCTCCTCTGTCCATGGGATTCTCCAGGCAAGAATACTGAAGTAGATCCCCATGCCCTCTTCCAGGGGATCTTCTTGACCCAGGGATTGAACCTGAGTCTCATGTCTCTTACATGAGCAGGTGGGTTCTTTACCACTAGTGCCACCTGGAAAGCCACTTACCTTCTCCCAGATCTTTATTTTCTACCTTCTCTATTATTTGCTTTTAAAATAGTCTCTTGAAAAATACGTATATCTGGATTTGATATTATCTAATCTGAGAATCTGTATGTTTTAATCCATGAATTTGCTGCTTATATGAGTTATTATAATTTATATGTTTGTTCTTCTCCTATAGTCTTAGCTTTTTGCCCTTTTGCTTTTGCTTTCTGTTTGATAATGAGTTTTGCTTGTTTCCTTCCCCCCACCCCCATTGAAAAATATTTAGTTTATTCTTTATACTTAAGTCATAGTATAGTTTTAAATCAATATTTTTCTAAGCAAGTTAGGATAAATATCTTTATTTTCCTCCTGATAAAGATAAATTTTAAATTTATCTAACATATTTTAAATTTTCCTTTAAAAGAACGTCTTTTCTAATGTTCAAGCTTTATCTATTCTTTCTTGTTCTGTAATGAATGCTATTAACTACAGTTACAATATTATTAACTATTGTTGCATCATATTACTATCCATGTTATTTATAAATATTTATAGTATGTTTATTATGTTCTTCATAATTTCTGCTTTAGATTTGCTGCCATGATTTATTGATGTCCTGACACATCTCTTTTCTTCTTGAAGCCCACACTTTCCTCCTAGTATATTTTTACCTCACAGAAGCAATTTTAAAGTAGCCCTTTCAGTGAAGTCCTAGGTAGCAAACTTTATGATATGTAGGTCAGTTTTCATTCCAATCCCAAAGAAAGGCAATGCCAGAGAATGCTCAAACTACCAAATTGCACTCATCTCCCATGCTAGCAAAGTAATGCTCAAAATTCTCCAAGCCAGGCTTCAACAGTACATGAATCATGAGCTTCCAGGTGTTCAAACTGAATTTAGAAAAGGCAGAGGGACCAGAGATGAAATTGCCAACATCCATTGGATCATCGAGAAAGCAAGAGAGTTCCAGGAAAACATCTACTTCTGCTTTATTGACTACGCTAAAGCCTTGGACTGTGTGGATCACAACAAACTGTGAAAAATTCTTCAAGAGATGGGAATACCAGACCACCTGACCTGCCTCCTGAGAAATCTGTATGCAGGTCAAGAAGCAACAGTTAGAATTGGACAGGGAGCCACAGACTGGTTCCAAATCGGGAAAGGAGTATATCAAGGCTGTATATTGTCAGCCTGCTTATTTAACTTATATGCAGAGTGCATCTCTAGAAATGCCAAATGAATGAAGCTCAAGGTGGAATCAAGATTGCTGGGAAAAATATCAATAACCTCAGATATGCAGATGACACCACCCTTATGGCAGAAAGTGAAGAAGAACTAAAGAGCCTCTTGATGAAAGTGAAAGAGGAGAGTGAAAAAGTTGGCTTAAAGCTCAACATTCAGAAAACTAAGATCATGGCATCTGGTCCCATCACTTCATGGCAAATAGATGGGGAAACAGTGGAAACAGTGGCTGACTTTATTTTTCTGGGCTCCAAAATCACTGCAGATGGTGACTACAGCCATGAAATTAAAAGACACTTATTCCTTGGAAGGAAAGTTATGAGCAACCTAGACAGCATATTAAAAAGCAGAGACATTACTTTGCCAACAAAGTCCTGCCTAGTCAAGGCTATGGTTTTTCCAGTAGTCATGTATAGATGTGTGAGAGTTGGACTATAAAGAAAACTGAGTGCCAAAGAATTGATGCTTTTGAAATGTGGTGTTTGAGAAGACTCTTGAGAGTCTCTTGGATTGCAAAGAGATCCAACCAGTCCATCCTAAAGGAGATCAGTCCTGAGTGTTCATTGGAAAGACTGATGTTGAAGCTGAAACTCCAGTACTTTGGCCACCCGTTGCGAAGAGTTGATTCGTTGGAAAAGACCCTGATGCTGGGAAAGATTGAGGGCATGAGGAGCAGGGGACGACAGAGGATGAGATGGTTGGATGGCATCACCAACTCAATGGACATGAGTTTGGGTAATCTCCGGGAGTTGTTGATAGACAGGGAGGCCTGGCATGTTGCAGTCCCTGGGATCGCAAAAAGTCAGACACGAGTGAGTGACTGAACGACTGAACTGAACCCATAAAATAACAATTGCTATTATAGATTTTCAAAGTGGCCAATATGAGAATTCTCTCAGCCCAGTCCTTAAAACCTGAAGCATTTCATAAATTCTTAGTATGTTAATGATGAAATGGCAAATAAGAACTGGATCCTGCCATGCAGTTAGGTATTTAAATTCAACCCCATACCTGTGAGTCTAAAGCAAGTTCTTGACCCTTATGCTTAGAAAGAGAGATTTCAGGGACTTTCCTGGTGGTCCAGTGTTTAAATCTCTGTGCTTCCAATGCAGGACTTGTGGGTTAGATCCTTGAGCAGGGAACTAAGATCCCACAGGCCACACAAAGTGGCCCCCCAAAAAAAAACAAAAACAAAAAAGATTTCTTTAAAAATTATGTTGGTATAAAAAAAAAAAGTGTGAGATTTCAGTCCATGGTGTCTCAATTTCCCTCCAGCTTATTATCACTACATCTGTTTATTTAGTTTGTATTTTCATTTTTATTTATCTTCAAACTTAGGGAAATCTTGCAAGAAGTACAGACAAAATTCTTGTACAAAATTCACACAGATTTACCAACAGTAATGCTTTTGAACATTGGAGGGCAGGAGGAGAAGGGGACAACAGAGGATGAGATGGTTGGATGGCATCACCGACACAATTAATTCTTCAAGAGATGGGAATACCAGACCACCTGACCTGCCTCCTGAGAAATCTGTATGCAGGTCAAGAAGCAACAGTTAGAACTGGACATGGAAAAACAGACAGGTTCCAAATTGGGAAAGGAGTACATCAAGTCTGTATATTGTCACCTTGCCTTTTTAACTTATATGAAGAGCACATAATGATA